CCACGTTGACGCTTGATATCGTAACGACGAGTTCGCATATCCAATTGTACTACTGTCAAGCAAATTTCAAGCCTCCATAACTTCTTAAAGAAAACCATTTTGCAGTTTTAATTTCCATTTTCTTAAACAGCATTCAAAACTCTATCGATTTGTCTTGGTCTCCATTCAAAGTCCCACGGTAAGTAGACTACCCCTCCCTGGTAAGTTCCCCATCATGTCCGACTTTGTCCAGACCACACCATGGATCAAAATCTGCTGATGTGTATTTCCGCGAATGCAGAACACTTTCTATCAAATCTTCACTGTTCTGAAAATTTTGGTCTCTGTCTTTCTTCTTTCATCTTTTCATACGATTCGTCAAGATAGCTGTCAATCTTATACTGGATCAAGGTCCACTGTGCCAGGCGATGTTCACTATTCCAATGAAACTATGACTACCTATCCCCCTCAACAAAGACATGAATCGATCACCGACTCCAGTGGGTTCGTGAAATTTGTACCGGTATTTGCAGTATGCAACCACGACTCTAGTAAACATAACCTCAGTTGACTTAGGAATTTCATTCTATCTCTACCTCTGATGCACTTGATGATGCTTTTTATCTATTTTGGTTGTCAGCTTCAACTTTACAAATGTTCGTTCTTCTGTTTACATTCGCATTTTTTTCGACTTTTCTAATCTTCTGCATCAGTTCTCCATTCATTCCTATCTTTTGTCTGAAGTTTTATTCTTTGTGCTCGTATGTTTCAAATTGTTCGTTAGCTATTCGGCGTGTTAGTTGCTTGTAATATACATGAGAGAATTTTATAGCAAACTAAGAATCCGGAATTTCAGTCTGTCCTCATCACTGAGCACAAAAAGAGACGAAAAGAGCAGTGGAAGTCAAAAAAGGAAACTCTGGCAAGAAGCCAAAAGCAGAGCAGTGTTGATGGAATGAACACAAATCCGATTGCGATTTAAAGAAGGCCATCGAGAAATTGGAAAGGGAAAATAACCGAAGTCCCAGTTGAAAGAAAGTCTACGGAAGGTACTGTTGATTAATTGAAAATAATTTTGTCTGAAAGGGAGTTTAAAAGAACAGAACATGTTTTTATGAATATTTCCAATGTTCATAAAAGTGTTGTTGCGTCGTGATGGTGGCGCTCAGGGATCGAAACCCGCAAGTGCCGAGAAAGGCTTTTAATTTTAACTGTGTAAGAAGATAATAGAAGAATTTTTCCTGGCTAATTTCCCACGATCATAGGTTTACAGTTGGAATGAAATTTCATACATGGCGTAATTTAGGTGGGGACTAGAGAATCGGAGAGCTTCTCTTTCTTTTCAACAAAGGTTACTCAAAAGAATTGTGTACTATTTTATTATCGCCGATTTACTGGAACTGTTTGAAAAGGAAATGGTTACTACCATAAAAACCAAGTCGCTTTTATCATATTCCTGTCTTTTTATTTGGAAGCGGCAAGTCCTATGGTTCGGCCGATTATTGATTAAAACGGTGGAATAACAGAGCGAAAGAAAGAAAAGATTAGGTTGTATTATGAGTAGGTCCATTGAGTTTCAAATAAGAATCGCGTCGATCTTCTCGTTTAAATGATTAGTCAGAGTAGTTAAACAAGGTGAAATTGAAGGATGAAATCAACTCATCCCAGGAGGTGCCACTATTATTATTCTGTTCTTCAGACATCGAACCGATCAAAAGGTGGCGATCGACGGGCGGTTCGGCGAAAGAGGATAAATCTCCCGAGATGAAGACGAAAATTTTCGGCTGAGACAAGATTTACAGATTTCCTCAGGCTGCTCTTGCAGTCTGGCTAATTTGATTCGGAAATATTCAGCAATCTAAAGCTATAGGGACATATTTCGAGCGTTTTTGGTCGGACTGAAAGGGGGAGGGGGTAATGTGAAAGCAGCCTCAGTTTTTTTGAAAAATTTCCAGATTAGAAGAGAGGGGTTTCGCTGAACGCACTGCAAATTGTCGCTTAATCTTGACGAGCTCCAGCCCCCTTCTCATTAGTTGGCTGAATGAACAGCTTGTAACGGGTGTGTGGTGACCAAATAATGAATGGGCTAGATATTGCAAGACTTGGCCATAATTTTGGTGCGGTCATCGAACCCACTTTGTTCTGTTCTCGTTGTTTTATTTGCAGAAATGCTTTTCCGATGTCTTCTCTCCGGTTCCCTGAAGGATGATATGATGGTGGGACGATCGTCAAAGGAATCGCATCCGAACACTCGCGATCACCGCTAGCTGTGCCATATTACGATGGGATGGGAAGAAACTGCGAAGTGCGACGATGGGACTATTTTGATGTGAGGGTCTTCCCAGTGCAAAAACTCGTTCGCAGCTCCACTCTGTTCTTTCAAATGGATCGTGTCCATAATCGTCTGTTCAGAAATCAGTACTCCGGGCTTTGATGAGGAGAACCACTCGTAAAACTTCACGCCTACAGACAGCCTGGATTCTACAGCAATTCATCTACGGGTCAACCTCTTTCGACGATTGTGTCGTGAGGCGATCCGAACGTGGATCAGTGGTATACAGCCACGGAATGTCTTCTCGATTGTATACGGAAGGCTTTCCGCTATGCCCGTGTAGCTAGGTAACTCAGTAGTTGGAATCTCTCACCTACAGTCAACTGGCTGCAAACACCGCATTAAGAAAGGGTCAACATAGATCGACGTTTCGTCGTGAGGCGATCCGAACGGGGATCAAAAGTATGCAACCAACGAGGTCCCCTTAATGCCCTCCTTTCACTGCATTCAATTTAGGTTGACGCAGTTTTCATAAAGAATGGACCATTTTCCGTGCGGACGGCTTTTCGAAACCTTTGTGTGACCGTGTAGTCACCATCGCCAAACTGCAAGTAATTGGATATGGGTAGACTACATGGACGGATCAACTTCGTTCGACGATTCTGTCGTGAGGCGATCCGAACGAGGATCAGAAGTATGCTATCACTGAAGCCCTCTTTACTGCTCAATTTTTATTGGACATAATTCAGGTTGACCCTGTACTCATCAAGGCCGGCACATGCTTCGTCATAAATGCTCGTCGATACCTCCGTGCAGCTGTGTACCCTCATCGTTGAATTGTTATTTTTCCAAGTACATGGATGTGCGCAGGACCACGGGGATAGATCAACTTTCTCCAGTCTCCGAGTCTCTATTCGTCAGAAGAACAAGGATATGTGCACGACCGCGAAAACGGATCAACTTCGTTCGACGATTACGTCGAGAGGCGATCCGAACGGGGATCAGAAGTATGTCATCACCAACTCTTTCTTGAATGTCCACCTTTTCATTGTACTGATTCAGGTCGATGCCGACTAAGCAGCTTTTCGACATGCTCGCGTACCTGTGAGTCGCTGCAGCTTCTCGTCTACAGGTGGGATATGTGGAGGGCCACCTTGGAATCAACGAAGGCCGGGACTTGTTCGCCGCGTAACTGTCTCGGTAAGAGTGCTAAAATTTTTTGGTATGACATGCCTAAGAATGGGGATAACTTGGTTAGGAATTCAGGGGTGGGACTGAATCCTAACAAAAGTTAGGATTCAGTCCCACCCCTGAATTCCTAACCAAGTTGCAAAACGTTTCTGGTCTCTATTAACTTTTTATCTGCCTGAGGACTCGTTTGCGTATTTCCTCTGCGAGATTCTACTTCATGTCACTCGTATTGATTTTTTTAATTAGTAAAGCCTTATGTTCAGGTCCCCGTAAAGTCCAACCGGGAAGCAGGTAGCCGCCTATCCTTCTAATAGGCGATCCGAGCAGGGATCAGGGGTATGTTGTCAGTTATTATCCTTTATCGTATCTTTGCTTAAATTTGTCAATTCAGATAGTTCCGGCTATCAGGTGTTCGTCGGACGTCGCTCAGACATCGAGTGTCAAATCGAGGATCGCCACCTTCCAGAAAGATGGAATCGAAGAAAAATGCTCCCCCGGTGGATGAAGCGGCGTACTTGCGGTCCCTAAAGCATGCGGTTTATGGTCAAGGTTTGTTAATTGAACTTCTCACAGTAGCCTTATTTCCTTTCTGAATTGTCCTTTTTGCAGATGACGGTCGACAGTGGCGGGAGGTGCAGGGAGTCGTCGGACGAAGCCGTCTATGTGATCTTTAAGTTGTACAGGTGTGATTGATTTAAGGTGTAGGCACCTAGGTTTATTGAGTTTAGTGTTTTCTTTTGTTTTAATAGGTTTTTAACTTTTTTTGCTTGTATTTAGTCAGTAGGTGACTTTCTGTTGTTTTACAGTTGCTTTGTTGTTTTCGGGGGGATAGTAATGTTTAGCACTAGTTCACTAGTTAACTAACTTTAGGG